TTGACTTACCTTTCCCACTTACCTTTCCGTGATCTACCTCTACATATAGACTACTCCTACTATACACAACACTACTTGTACCCTACTTACCTTATATTCCATACTTGTCTTATTCTTGCCTCTTCGACTTTGACTAATTCACCTTAGCTTCCTTTTTCTCTCGTTTTTACTTTCGTGATTCTCCGTTTTCTCTCACGGATTCCTTTTCACTTTTTCGTACTTTCCTGTCTTTTATCTATTTTATGCGCCCATTTTTGTAAAGTTTTATCGTTCTTTTTATTTTATGTATTTCTGGTTATTTTCAGTCACAATACCCTATTTGCAATATCAAATCAAGTGCATTATGGGTAAAATCTCGATAAGCGCGGAAAGCCACCTGTATAAAAGGTCAAGCCAGATCGGTCTAAGGAGAGAGGCTTTTTGTCTTGTGTGGTGACAGGGGAAAGGCTAGATCAGTAGCAACTCGAGGAGGTTATGACGTCAGATTTTGATGACCACAAAAGTTGCGATTTTGTTTTTGGAAAAAGCACATAGGGTTTATTATTCATTTTGGTCTCTTCAATTTTCATAGAATGGTGAAAAATAAAGATTTTAATGGTCACATTTTCAATGAACAATCATCAAAATAGCACTGTGGATGAGAAGAGTGGGTGATTATGTTTATGAATGAAGGATTCGCAAGTGGAATTACTCGCAGTGGGAGTCAAGCCAAAGACCCCTTTTTTACTCAGCTTGAAGGAATTAAGTATACCTACTTTTATTATTATCTCCATGGACTTAATCAATGAATGAAAGCTATTTTATTTAATGTGTAGGATACCAGTCCGGGCTATTTTTAGAATAGCACATGTTCATGTTTACATTTCGTACAATATTTAAAGTTTCAATGGCTTTTCAGGCGTTGTTGACTTCATAAAGTCTTGTTGGCCTGGTTTCCTACACGTTAAATGAAATATATTTCATTCATTCATTGAGTGCATGGAGGTATTAATAAAAGTAGGTTTACTTAATTAATTCAAGCTGAATAAAAAATATATGCTTTTGGCTTGACTCCCACTTGGAAATCATTCATACATTTTTCCAAAAACAGAATCGCAACTTTTGTGAGATCATCAAAATCTGACGCCATAACCTCCTCGAGTTGCTACTGATCTAGCCTTTCCCATGGTGACAGACCGTTGGATTTTTAGCTGGCTGACTGGTGCTTCTCGTGTTGTGGCGGGTTGTGTCTAGTTTTACAAGTGTATGGTGTGTTGCCATGTATATTGGTTACGTTTAGATTTTTTTTTTTTGCGAAATTAATGTATAATATGAATGTTCCTTTTTTATGTTGCCTTCTACTTAGCCAGTGATTTAATTTTTTTCTTATTGTGACTACGGGATCACTCTTTAACTCACCTGAGTCATTGCCAATTAACGCCAGACCCACATGGATCTTACCTGTAGTTGGGTAACACGCTACCGAATTGACATCTATAACTCTACGGAGTTCACAATTATCCGCTACAATTAGTATCATTAGTATCATTATCATTAACATTATCATTAGTATCATTAGCATCACTTTTATTATTATCATTATTGTTATTATCATTATCATTGCAATTATTATTACTACTACTATTACCATTATCAAAATAATTGGCAATGTCTTTGTCCTTCTAATGTTGTTATTATTATTCTTGATACTCTATTATTGATCATTACCACTATCACTACTTCTACAACTACTGCGGCTATAACTACTACTATTGCCACCATCACTATCATCATCATTATCATTACCCCCCCTAAAAAAAAAAGATTAAAAGTATGAAAATAAAAAAGATAAACATGGAACATCGAACGTGATCCTTGCTTGCGCTTCATACCCGTGACGTCACATGTAAACAAAAGGAATTTCAAATCGTCTCCGCAGTTCCGAAAATGACGTCTTCTGTTATTTCCGATGAATTGTCAAGGAAAATCGCGGATATGATTAGCAAGCATGAAGACTGGACGGAGGAAGATAAGACAAGAATTCTCTCGGAATATATGAAGGTAAAATAGGGTTTTAATGTAATTGGTGGATAGGTAACTTCGTAGAAAATAGTGGTATTCTATTTTTTTAATTTTGTTTTCATTCATGTTGTTGAAGGATCATTGAATAGACTAGCATTCATTAAACGGAATAAATACTAGAATGTAAAGTAATGAAGAAATAGGTCATAAACATAAAAAAAATAAATAAATAAAAACCTAGATATGCTACCGGTACAACGCAAAATTTCAAAAGCTGATGCATGAATTAAAGTTCACCTGATAATGGGTGAATCAGAGGCACCTAACGAAACACTAACTTAATTAGGTAATTTTCTATATTACCTTCGCCACACCGATATCGACGATTTTGGTATCGTTGGATTCCTCTCACTGTCCACATTCCAAATATGTAGGTTTTATTGCGCGGTACCCCCCCTGTTAGCTGCAAACTTGGCCCCGATTGCAAGGGTGGGCATGG